CGATAAAACTCACTGAAAATAAGTTCATGGCCAGGTCGTGCAGAGGAGTTCTTCCAGCAGTGCGTGGTAAAAAGCCGATGACGACGGTACATTTTTACAGAAAAACAAGAGGAATTATCGAGGAACAACTATACCTCAGCCACAAAACAAAAACCTGTGCACTCAGCTGTCAGTTGCGACTTTAGATCAGAAGTCATGGGGACAGGTGGAACCCGACAGTAAAAAAAACAGTCTTTTAGGGTCAATAACAAACGAGGGAGGTACCGGCAGTCGTTTCCACCGAATTTGATTAGCATAAGATCATGCCTGTTTTGTTGTTGCTCTGAAGACGAATTCAGCTTAGTCCTCCAAAATATCATTTCAGTTTTTGTGGGTTGTCCCTCGCTATATATTCGAAATGACATTCCTATGCGTCGCGTAAACAAAATTCTGCAGCGTTTTCAGCATAATACAATGATAATCAATATCCGATAACCCACATGTCATTACTTTCTAAGCGAACGCGAACTGGTGGACGCCACAACTCAGCTAAAAGCTATAAAATTTTGTCGACACAGTGATATAAGTGACGCCAAGATGGTAGGCCGACCGAACGATGCCCGCCAAAACCTCAGCTCGGCCGGGCTTGTGTCGTCGATGCGTTCGTTTCGTTCCGCCGGTACACCGTGCAAATCGGCGGGAGCGTAACTGGCTGGTACCGACTGACTTTCTAGCTTTGTGTGCCAAACAAACAAAACAGGAATACAAGTCAATGATCCGCGTACCTTTCTGTCGGTATCACAACTTTCACCACGGCATTCCTGATCATCTGTATACAGAGATAACATAATAAAATTAGACTGCAACTTCACACCACATTCAATAAGGCAAAATACATTTTACGACACAAACGAGTTTAACGTTCACACTAACTCATTTGTCATTCAGTGTCAATTAGGCTAAGCAGCCACGGTGGTCTAGCCTATCGATCAATCAACTGTCACTTCGCTTAAAAATTTTCCTAATACTCCATGAAAAAAATAAGATTTCAATATTCAAATCGCAGAAAGCGTACGTCGAGTCGATTAGTTTAGGTCTAGAAAACATAACGAGAGAAAGTGATGTTCCGCATAGGTTTTCGAAATACATTTTTCGTTTACAGTCACTGCAAATCAGAAACATTGTAAAAAATTTTTAAAATGATTTAAACACCTGTACAATAACCTCACGAAGCTGAGGAATGACAAAACTTTAATATTAGTATGCGCAATACTGAAAGACTACATGATTTTACTGCATGAACAAATATGTCAAAACGACAAAGTTAAAGGACAGTTGAATCATCGCACGGGAGATTATTAGCATGCACAGTTCTTTGACACGAGAAAGCAGTGCGCAGGCCAAAACTACTTAGATACTTTACTTTAGCTAATGACATTCTGTAACCAGGGTATTACAGATCTCTTTAAAAACCAGAACTGATCACATATCTTCAGACGAGTCTGTTTAGGGTGAAGTCACTACGAACGAGGACAAAATGATCAGGGGGTATTTGCTTGTATTAACTTAAAAAATAGGCTGAAATCTTTTGGTCATGTCGTCTACCCTCTGAAAAGACGAACGGCAGATTTATATGATGTTTGCTAGATAACAAGGACTTAAAAGAAACCAAGAGCATACGTTCCTGGGATGGTCAAAACGTGAAAATCGTATGTGATAACGTACTCAAGCGTTTTACAATCATGTCTCATCCATTTGAACAGCGTTTCACATTGTTGTAGCTCATGAAACGGCAATCTCTGTCGAAATTAATCCAAGAAAAGTTTTAAGTAGTACACTATAATTTGGGTCATTAGAGTTTTAAAACCGTACGGAATGGCGAGACTTCAGTCATTATCATTATGGAACCATTACGCAAGTGAGTAAAAACCTTGGAAAGACCCTCAAGAATGAGGCCAAGTTCGATACTGACCAAATAATCGTGTTGAACTCGTACAGGCGTTGGAAGACATGTTGAGCTCTTCAGAAGACCAAAACACTGCTGTTCTACTTTTCGCAAACCTATGCAATAATATCAGCACTATCTCTAATGATCAGGAAGAGAGCGAAATTAGGACGAAATAACTTGACATTCAGCGGATAAATCTGCGGATAGCGTTTACTTAACTAAGGCGTCACGAGAATCGCTAACTTTAATTCTGACACTATTACATACCTGAAGAGGGACATTTAGCGACGGACTGTCGTGCACGCCACAAACCATCTGAGATCCGCGTGATTAAGTCAAAAACCAAGGTGTTAAGTGAGTGTTCTGATATTAAAACCAGCTTTGCATGTAAAGCCTGGGCTTCTAGGTCAGTTTTATAGTGCAAGTCAGCAAATCGACATAGTGCTGCGACGAAATGTTGCAGAACGAACAAACATACGAAATGAATTCAATTCATGAAACAATTCATTTAAAAAATACGACAAAATTTCACCACGAAAAAACGTATGCTTCATAACGTGAAACAGCAAAAACGAGAGCAAAACCATTGCGGAACATCAGGAAACGTTAAAAAGGATTTCGGCCGAATGAATAAGCCACCGGGGGCCAGCACATTTAATCGTGCAGAAAGACGCGAATGAGCGAAGGAGTGACAAAGTCATAATTAAACATTTTTTAACTTTTAGCCAGCAATCTACGTTCATTAGCATCAAGTTAAATTTTGCCAGAAAAATCCGTAGGCAATACCTTATCCCACAGCGCTCGCTGATGCGGATCGATCGGCGGCGGTGAAGCGGGCGGTGGTAGTGGCCAGACGTATCGAGCTCGATCGCGCGGCCGCGGCTGGGCGTTGAACGGCAGTCCGGAGGGAGAGGGCGGTAAAGTCAACTCAAGCATAGCGGGGGGAATGAAAACCGGATGCTGGGGAATTGGCACGGATTTGCCCCAGCTAAGCTTCATTTCGAATCCGAGAACATTCCTTGCTAAATGTTTATTGCCTGTAAATATAGCGAACAGAAACAGTCAGTA